TATTGAAATACATGTATTCAATTAAAACTTATTTATGAACTATTTTATACCTAAGCTTTTATATCTTTTCTGATAATGAGTCATTTATATCGACCGTCGCATTCTTACAAAAAATTATCGAATATGCCGCCCTCAAACAAAATACAACACTTGCTGATTTTGCCGATTGCTTTATGATAAAACCGCTTTGCTTTTTATTTTATCTATTTTTTTAAATATTGTTAAACCTTTACTTTTGATCTGCGTTGCATATATTTTGTTTTTCTTTTTTTTTTCATAAATATTATAAAATAAATACCTATTTATAAACGTTTCCTGATATCTTTTTTTGTGTTGATAAACACACAATTATTTTAATGACTGAAAGATTATTCTCTTTTTTTTTCAGTTCCCAAGCCCTCACTATTTGCGTTTCTTGTAACGTTCCGGACAAACGTGTTTTATGATTTCGTTCCTTGAATTTCCGTCCCGTAACTCCCGTACAAATATCGTTTCAAGTTCCAAGTGGAACGCAGAGTGGAACGTGTTACTTTTGTGGCGAGGAGCGCTACACTCCGCTACTCGATAGTAGCGCTACAATGGAACGGTTCCTAAAGTAACGACCCATCTCTATTATATTTGTCACTCCCTGAACTACCAGCAAACACAGCACAACCCAATGAATCACCTTATTTAACAGCTAAACGAAAGCTCAAACAATATTTCACCCCTAGAGTCAGCAAAGAATTTGAAATGTTTAATTTTAGGCAAGCCAGACAGAGCGAGAATGAAACAATTGATCAGTTTTACGCAAAGTTACTGAAACTATCCAAGACTTGCACGTTTGAGAACCCAAATGAAGAAATCAAACTTCAAATCATCATGAACACGAAGTACACAGAACTACGTCGATATGGACTCACTGAACAACCCAATCTCGATGATCTATTGAGCAGAGCACGTACAATCGAGTGCACAGCTAATCAACTGAAGGTCATTGAAGACAAGATTGTCATGAACACAAGCACAGAAGAATGTAGCTACCTAAACAAACAAACGCAACACAGAACCGCACCAGCCAACAGTGGTACCAGCAAGAACAATTGCAAAAATTGTGGAGGCAAATGGCATCCAAATGGGAGGAGAGCTTGTCCTGCTCTAAATGTAATTTGTCGAAGTTGTGGCAAGAAAGGACACTACGCCCGAGTCTGCATGTCCACTACATAAACACAACAGCAACAAGCACAATCACGAGCAAACCCCCAGCACAACAACCATGGCACAAATACTAGCATAAACAAGAAACATAATGGAGAGAGGAAGAACAGAGCACAAATTCGCTTTAATGAGCTTAATATGGAGCCAGAGTCAACTAATTCTGAGACATCTTCCAAAACAACAATTCGTCCAAACGACAGAACAGCCATGAAATGCCCTCAGGTACATGTTAAGTTGATTGGCAAAGTAATCAATTTCATTGTAGATACTGGTTCATCTGTTAATCTGATAAGCTCAAACACATTTAAAGAATTTCATCAGCAGTCGCTACAACCAGATTCCTCATCGATTCTCCCGTACAACTGTCAACAACAGTTAGAAGTAGTTGGAAAATTCAAAGGTTTGTTCCATTATAACAACCACCAAAATCGAGCAGATGTATTTGTGATAAAAGGCAACAGTGAATCATTATTGAGCTACGATACAGCAAACAAATTGCAGCTGATACAACTATCTATGATGATATATCAACCTATGGACATGAACTATATCAAAAACAAGCATCCTAATTTGTGTAATGGCATAGGTTGTCTCAAGAACAAAACTGTCAAGCTACACATTGATGAGTCAATTCCTCCAGTAGCAAATAAACACAGGAGAATTCCAATAAATCTTCGTGGAGCAGTTGAACAAGAGATAACAAGACTGATGAAACAAAACATCATTGAAAAAGCAACAGGACCAACTCCCTGGGTTTCACCAATAGTTGTAGTTCCCAAACATCACGATCCTAACTCTATCAGAATTTGTGTAGACATGAGAGAGACTAACAAAGCCATACTTAGAGAAAGGCATCCAACACCAACTATTGAAGAAATATTTGCCCAGTTAAATGGCGCAACAGTCTTCTCAAAGATTGATTTGAAAGATGGCTACCACCAACTAACATTAGAAGAATCTTCACGGTATATAACAGTTTTCTCAACACATATTGGTTTGTATCAATATAAAAGACTGAGTTTTGGGATAAATTCCGCTGCAGAGATTTTTCAAAACACAATAAGACAACTGTTAAACCAAATAGATGGTGTGTTAAACATCAGCGATGATATACTAATCTTTGGAACAACTCAACAAGACCATGATAAGACTCTCAAGCAAGTAATAGAACGTTTGGATAACCATAATTTGACAATCAACACAAAGAAATGCATTTTTAACACAAACAAAATCGATTTCTTTGGATATGTATTCTCTAGCAAAGGCATTTACCCTGATCCAGACAAAGTCAAGTCTGTCTCTAACCTAGAACCGCCCAGAAACGTACATGAACTAAGAAGCTTCCTAGGAACGTTGAAATATGTTGGAAAGTTCCTGCCTCACTTAGCAACAAATACTGCAATATTACGTGAGCTGATTACAAAAGATGCTCAATGGGACTGGACTGAAAAGCATCACAGCGCTTTTAATGATCTTAAGAAACAACTAGAATCAGCACGAAACCTCGCCTATTTTGACCAACAGAAAAAGACGCACCTCTATGTAGACGCTGGTCCCATAGGACTTGGAGCGCTCCTTTCGCAAGAACTTAACAACAAAACAGAAGTTATTTCGTACGCTAGCAGAACATTAACTTTGACCGAACAGAAATACAGTCAAATAGAGAAAGAAACATTAGCAGCAACATGGGCCATACATCACTTCAGAATATACCTGTTAGGAGGTCACTTTGTGTTACACACAGACCACAAACCCTTGGTCTCAATCCTACAGAACCCTCGATCAGCTCCTAACGCACGCATTGAACGACTTTGTTTGAAACTTCAGCCTTATAAATTTACAGTTCAATACCAAAGAGGCATAACAAATCCGTCTGATTATTTATCTCGTCATCCAACACACAGCCCACCAGAAGCATATGATAAAAGTGAAGAATACGTAGCTTTTGTAACCAATCATTCACTACCAAACACAATTTCACTTGAAGAAATCGAAAATGCAATGAAAGATGATTTTCAGTTGCAGCTACTGAAAAAGGCCTTGTTAGAAGATGATTCCTTGTTTTGGAAGAAACGAGAACTGCAAACATTCAAGCAAATCAAACAAGAGCTCACTGTATATGGTAATATTATTCTCAAAGGCATTCAAATCGTAATTCCCAGCAAACTGCAGAAAAACATTATCAGACTGGCACATAAAGGTCATCAAGGTCTAGTTAAAACCAAACAACTGGTAAGAACTAAGGTATGGTTTCCCAACATCAACAAAATGGTAGAAGAAGTAGTGAAGTCATGCACAGCATGTCAAGCAGTAACACCCTACAACCAGCGAAATCCGATTCAGATATACCCGACATCCACTCACCCGCTTGAATGTCTAGATGTAGATTACGCCGGACCATTTCCAGATGGAAAATATTATTTCATAATGGTAGATGATTTCTCAAAGTTCCCATTCGTCAAAAAAGTACCATCGACCAATTTCAAACAGCTGAAGCCCGTACTTGACGAGACATTTGCACTATTTGGCCTACCAAAAGAACTTAAATCCGATAATGGACCACCCTTTAATGGATACGAGTTGAAAGAACATCTTTCAAGCCTTAACATCAAGCATCATTTGATAACACCACGTTGGCCAGAAGCAAATGGCAGAACTGAGAGATTCGTGAAAACGTTCAAGAAAGCCCTCTTGTGCGCAACGATCAACAGTAACAATCCAGACGCAGAAATTCAAGAATTTTTAATCAATTACCGAAGCACCCCTCATTCAACAACAAACTGCTCACCATATCAAATTATGTTCAACAGAGAAATCAACAACTTCTTACCCACTCTCAAAAACAAGACGTTTCATGAATACAATCCCCAAACGGACATCGACAACAGAAGAAAACAAAACGAACGCGCCAATCGTAAAAGAAGGACATTTGAACACCGCTTACAACTTGGACAAAAAGTTCTTTGCAAACAACAAAAGAAGAATTCGCTGACTCCACTCTTTGATCCAGATCCATACACGATCACTAGAATCACCGGTTCTCAAATTGAAGCTCGACTAGGAGAAAAGGTGATTGTCAGAAATTCATCATTCTTCAAGCCACACCACTCAGCACAGAGTCCAAGGCCAGAGTATCACCCCTCAACAAGTTTGGCACCCAGTCGATCTTCCCAATCTGAACAAACGCGAGCACCGTTCCCCACAACACCTCCAAGGTCGACAGCTCCAGCCACGACACCCCTTAGACAAGACAACACGGAGGACAAAGTAAACAGTCCCCCAAATCAACGAGTTGAGACGCCCACTGAACGACGTCCCCAGCGAGACAGAAAACCACCGTCGAAGCTCCGGGACTATCTTGTAGAACTCTAATGGCATGTGCGTCATATGAGTTATTGAGTTTAACTTTTATTTTGTATTTGGTATGTGTTCTTTAATTTTCAGTAAGGGAGGAAATGTAATGTACTAGCTTAAAAAAGAGATAGAGAATGACAGTTGACACAATATATATGTTAGAAAAATGAGCTCGTGTAATTTGAGAAACTAACAATATTACCTACCCCAAACAAGACATCACAGGTATATCCTGTATTCGTTTAAAAATGTCATGTATCAACTTGTCGTGTCTACTTCAACATATTTTTTAAGCAACTTGTGATCTTTTTAACTCAACACATGAAATTATATTAGAATAAATTATTGGTATCGTTAGTGTTGTTACAGGTAATAGTGCAAATCTTACTTGAATGCCGGTCGTTTATTTGGGTAAATGGTGGGTTTAAAATAATAATAAAACTACGATAAACGAAAAGACGTTTTAATTTAGAATTCTCTTCATTTTTTTTACTGTTTTTGTAGATGCACCTGCTAACGCATGCTTCCGTTTCCGCAGTTTCCTCTGCTTTATTTCCGCTCTCTTTGTCCGTTCTGTAATTGCAGTGGTTGAGCTACATGACTCGGGCAGTAAGTGTAGAGAAGGAACAGCTAAAAATTGTATATTTTAGAGAATATGTTACAAAGCATAAACCATGTTACATACCGTTTTTTTTCAATTTTTTTGGCCTAATTTTTAATAATCTAGCTTGCAACAAATCTTCATAATCATCGGGTGTAAAATGATCGCTGCAAACTCTTTTATTTTGTGGGTCAAATTTGTCTTTCCTATGGCACTTCCTAACCCATTCCTTCCTAATCTGGGGATCTTTAGGGAAGTTAAAAAACGTCTGACTTTGTCCACTTTCTTTCGCCTTCTTGGAATTGTTCTTGCAAATAGCAACGCTACAAATACTTCCTCCAGGCATCTAATAAATTAAAATAATATAGCTAACACATCACTTGTTTACAATTAATACCTATTACCATAAAATACTACTATAAACACCGGTAGAACAACAAATTTTCAACAAAATCACTCAGTTTCACTACAGTAAACAAGCTGTCTGCAAGCTGTGGGCACGCTGGATGACGTAGCAATATGGCGACACCTCCCACCACTCGTTAGTTACCAGGCAACCTATATACTTTACGAATCTTGACAGCATACGGTATTTGTGCCGAAGAACCTGTATGTATGCGCATGCCTGAGCTGTCACTGAAAAAGCCGGTAAATTCAAACGTAGGTGTTTACACTTGTCATTTAAAAAATGTGGCAAATTGAAATATATGTAATCTCATCGAATTACCAAAAGGCTTAACCCCCAGTTATCACAACAGAATTTGTATCGAAATGATAAATATAATTCATAATAAGTTGATCATCGTTTGTGTTTGCGTATAATCTGCCTTAAAATTTAATATTAATGTACTTAGGGTCATACCAAAAACTGTATAATCATGCTTTCCTCCAGACATACCTACTTGCATTGAATAACCAATTTAAGTATGTGATTATAATTGTATATGATTGTTGCGTCTTTTACCCAACATAATGAAACTTAATAATACGACTTTAGTTTTTTTTTATTAATTAATGTGCTATTTTCAATCAAGCGTAACATACAAAAAACGCGTAAAATAAAAATGTATTTGTAAAAAAATTGTATTTGCTTTATAGAAATAATCTGAATCAACAAAAAATACAACAGAATTCATCTTTACCTAACAGAAAAATACATAGTAATAGTAGCAGTAATAAAAATTATAATTACTAAATTGTAGAAATAAAATTCTCATCCTATTATTTATAAAGGTGATTCCATGAGGACCTATTAATAACCCATGTCACAAAAATCCACTCATTTCTCTAGTGTTTCTGTAACCAATCAGTTCATAATAATGTTGCTTCATATTTGTTCACTTACGGAATAATATTGCTGCGTCTCTTGCACTCTTTTCTTTGTTAAATTCTTCTCGTTTTTTTTTTCTTAACCATCCATCGACATTGCTCATAAGTTCTTTAAAATCATCAATGTTAAGTGCATTCAAAGTATTATTAAGTGACTCCTGCTTTAATTTTCGAAAAGTTTCATCATCCAATGGCAACGGTGTTTGCTGATTATTTTCTATTAACATTTTTACTTCTTCATTTTTCTGCATATCACAATAATTGTGTTCATTTTCTGATTCCATTAATACTCTCTTGCAATAATTATGTTCTTCTATATCTGTAAAAGTGTCTTTAGTCTTCCCTAACCCACATTCATACCGTTCCCTTTCAAACAAAGCAACATCTTGCATAAATTATTTTTTACCATAAACTCAGGACACTGGCATTTGTAATGATGCAAACAGATTTGGCAAACTACACAATACATGAGCCTACAATCATTTCTACACACTCTGTCTCCATACACAACCTTATAAATCTTATTGGAATTAGATCTTACTGAAAACTCTCCAAAACCAACTTCCTCCACCATATTTTGTAAATTTTCTGCTTTTCTATGTCTGTCTCTTACAATTCTGCTTTGATACGTTTCTGTAGAAGGTCTTTCTGTTTCTATTATTCTGTTCCATTCCTTGTCTTCCACTACTCTGTCTAACATATCCAATAACTTCTCTATTGTATTATTTCTCTTCTTATTCAACTCATCATATTTAATAAATTTGTTCAGACTTTCAATTGCCATATTTGTATTGATCCCAGCATTTAGTCTGTAACAGTGAGCCCACATTTTAATACGTTCCATATTCTGAAAATAATGTTTTTTTAAATAATTCAAAAAAATAATTTCCCCCGCTTCAAAAAGTATGTGAAAATAACTGTTGTATAGCTCTTTAAATTTATCTTCATTTGTTTCCTTTAAAATTTTTCCCATCTCAGTCTTCATATTTTTCTTCAATTCTGTATTTTTTAATTTTGCTTTGCCTTGAATGTTCCAATTTTTTATAATATGCCAACTACACAATAAATGTCTTGGTTTTGTTTCCATAACGTTGATCCATGCATTATAATATTTTGGGTCATCATCTGTCATAAAATAGGTGGGACATAATTTTTCACCAACTTTTTTCTTTAAAGCATCTAAAAAATTTTCAAAAATTAACTGATCTTTTCTACTAGACACTAAAAATGCAACGGGAAAACCAACACCCCTATCATCTTTAACTAAAACTGTTGTTAACTCCCATCCTCTAATATTTGTGTTGTGCGTCCCATCCATACAAATAATATTTGTGAATTGTTTAAATTTAGATTCCATCACCTGGTTCATAAAGCCCACTGCAAAATCTTCATCTCTAAGAATGGAATGCCTTTCCCCTACAAGCCAAGCTAAGCATGTGCTAAACAACCAACACCACCAACTACAATCTACATGCATGAATATTTCTCTTAATTCACAGATTTTAAACAAAAATTTTACCTAATTGTAAAAAACCACATGCTAACAAAATAATAATCATATACATTACCAATTTGTTTAAATAAAAATCCATAATTTTGGCCACTTTGATTCCATTCATGCAAAACCTTTATTGTTGTTGCAGCCATATCATCAGCATTTCTAGTTTTTGATAAACTTCGACTCATGTTTCTCAAATCCATTTTTGTTAATAAGTGTAGTCTTTCCAATTTATTCCCTTTAAAGGTCCGAGCATCTTCTAATATTCTCTTTTTACATACTTCATTTTTCAATTTTGAATAAATTTCTTGTTTTTCATTTTTTGTCAATCCTTGATATCTCAGCTCATCTTCATGTCCTACATGTGTTTTTATATATTTAATTTTCACTGTTCCTATAAACAATTGATGCAATTAATATACCCCCAGTAACATTTTATATGTAATAAGTATTGAAGTTCTAACATTTAAATAATATGGGTAACGACAGATTTTTTTTAGAAAATCAATATTGGTTTTAAATATTGAATATATATTTTTTTTCAATGTTTAATACTTATTTAGTTCAGAACATCTAATAAATGTTCTTCATATGAAAGGGGGTATGGATATAAAAAAAACTTGTATGGAATACAATATAAAATTTATTAAACACAGAAATACATTGTCACTGGAAATAACAGTGTATTTGAAATGTTGCGGCAATATTTATACATTTAAAAATTATTTGTCCTAGAACCAATTCGTTGAAAATTTGTACCAGGTGATTTTTTTTTTAATTTCTGCTGTAGTTATCCATGACACTTATGTCAGCAGTGAAACTGAAACTGAAAAATGGGCAACCAGAGCATAAATTTAAAAAATCACCTGATGTGAAACACAATATAAATTTTTTAAACATAAAAATACACTGCCAACTTACAATGAAATAAAAATACATTGTGAATGAACAATGTTCTGCTACATTTCAATCGTTATACAGAAATATTTATTTAATAATTATTTACTCTATAACCAATTCATTGAAAAGCGATATAATTAATTAAAATAAAAAAAATCATACCTCATGTTTTTTTTCGATGAGAATTCATTCTTGCTTTTGTATTCGCTTAATGAGGTCCTACCATTTTTTAAATTTCAGTAGTTGTGGCGTTTTTGTGACTTTTCCGTGTGGTACCTACAATTAAATTAATTTACAAAATTTGTAATTTTTAAGAAATCACATAACTTTACATATTGTAGACTTGTTAATTGTGAGTTCACTAAAAGAGAGATTATTTTTTTCCTTGCCCTGAAAACTTGAAAGCAATTTGGTTCATTATTAATAATTTCTTCAAAATTGCATACATGTTTTTTTACGTCTTCTCTTCCTGACAAATAAACATTATTATCAGTCTGAAACTAGTTTATAAATACTAGGAGTTAATAATAATAATAATAAATGCTTACCAATTCATCCAATTTCTACGTATCTCCCGCAATTTCTAACTCGATTTCTTCTTTTTTTTGGTTGCGCCCGGACATTCATCATTTTGTCTCTACATTAATAATATGCTTATATTCAGAAATATTAAACCTCTTAAATATACTTACGTGTTGAGAAATTGCATTTTCTGCATTGCATGTAGAAGTGAGGTTATGTAGGTTTAGTACTGTTTTCTTGACAAAACGGTATTTACTACACTATTCTGAATTTATTGCAGTACCGATAATCACAATTCACAATAGGACAAACACCATGAACTTAGACAAAATACTTTTTGAACCACCAACAATAACAGAAAATATGTATATGTTGCACATTGCGCAAACGCGTTCCAGCAGAGCAAGCGCATCGGTAGGTGAAACACAAATTTAAGTAAGTTTTATAAAAATGATGAATAAAATTGTTATTTTTTGTTCGCAAAAATAAAAAAAATATTACCTTTTAATGAGCAATTAATAGTGTGCAAAGCGTGATTTCGAATAGTGTCAATTTCACAATAGCTGGTATTTTTTCAAATCAATTTTTAATATTACTCCAATAAAAACCCTATGAAATAAATTACAGTAGACGCCGCTTAATATGATCACGGTTAATGTTATCAACCGCTTAGTGTGATCAAAATGGCTTGGAACGGGCCCACGCAATACCAATGCATTAAAATTTTTCCGTTTATTGTGATCAATATTTCGCTTATTGTGATCAATCTCGCAATTCTTATACAAGCGGGAATTTTTTTTTTGGAGAAGCGAGACGATTGAAACTGCTATTGTTGTTTAATGAACATTCATTGCTCTCAAAAGATAAATTCGCTTATACTATTCACTTTATACTCTCATAGATCTTACCTTATCAGAGAAAAAAAAAAAAAATCTCAGCCCTTACTTAAGAAACTTCTACAACCACCAAAGAAAATCGAGGGTTCCTTTCTCAAAATGGTAACCAAAATTTATTTTAAAAATTCTTCTGTTTATGTACCTTCATCTACCAGCATAATAAACACTATCTTGTTCATGATTTTGTATTATTTTGAGTTTTACTGTCTCTGATGATGGTTTTCGCTTATTATTATCAGTCGGTTAGTGTGATCAATTTGTCTGAGTCCCAAAGTGATCACATTAAGCGGCGTCCACTGTACCTACAAGTTGTCCCAACATGGTACTTTTTTTTTCATTTTTGTTGTTCGGTATCTTGATAAAAAGACATTTCATAAATGTGTAATATATGTTGAAATTCATATATAAATTTATAAATATAAAATGAATATTATATAAATATTTGTAATATCTAGTCAACATTTAATATTATATCAATGTTGTATAAATGTTAGAAAAATATTGCTTGCTACTGGGGACAGTAAACTGTGCACATAGATAACATACCTTCATCAAAAATTTTTGCAGTGATTCTTGATGGACAAGTACCACAGATTTTCTTGCTACCCCCTGCCTTTGGAAATCTCTTAAATGCTTTACTTTCATAGCCTAAAATGTCCAATAATACAATATATTCTTAACAAATTACAATAATAATGTACCATTGTAGCTTCTGTTGCAGTTATAATATATCAGCTGATAGGGGTAACGCACATCTTTTTTTTGCTTTCGACTAATATATTTAACATCTCTTCGTTCTTCGCAAATCCAATTTTTAAAATCTTCATGACTTAGTATCAATTCTTCTACCTCTAATGTTATATTATGCTTTATTTCAAGATGAGTTTTGAGTTCTTCATGGGATTTCAAATTTCTCTCTATTTCATCCCCACACATTGGACAAAAAATCTTTGTTTTGTAAATCCTACCAACACTTTGATCACGGTGAAAACGCCTAAAATGTCTATTCCTGGAAGTAACAAAATTAAATTGTTTGTCACAGACAGAACACTTTATAGATTCCATTCTGGAAGAATATAGAAAAAGCGCATTCAGACCATGATACAAGTAAATATGGTATGGACATACGCAGGTTTGCTGACGTCACCTGGCTGTATTCAGGCGGGAAATTGAAATATTTACCGAGCCCAACGGAGGACTACAAAAAAAAAAACATTTTCATCATGAAATAGAATTGTTTTAATGATAGAAATAAATTATTTAACATATTGTGAAAAGTTCTTTTACTTTATACCGTTCTTAAAACAAAAATATAACGTCATATCTACATTGTGACAGTTGAGGTAGCAGGTATATGCAAGAATTAAGTTTGTCGTTTTTGTGTTATTGTATCTCCTGTTTATTACAAATCTTGGAACATGGCTTACTGTTCAGTCATGGGTTGTAACACCAGCCAAAAGAAATCCAAAGGAATTCACTTTTATAGATATCAGAGCAGTGGTCAGCATTTTGTAGGATTCCTCCTGTTAATACAAAAAATGGTAACAGCATAAGTATTTTACATTTAACAGTGGAATATTCACACAGATTTGTTTTCTTTGTAGCTCGAATATGTTCTCTTCATTTTGAAGATAAATTTAATTATAAATCTATGCAGCAGATAATATTGGGCTATAGCCCAAAGAACAGGAGAAGGTTAGTGTCCACGGCAATTCCCACAATTAAAATTCCCTTATCTCCAAATAAAAGTGGATTTTGTGGAAGTTCGGATCAAGTGGAAGTGTCTGTCGAACACAATTTTACGCCAAATAAAAACGGCTCAACGGAAAAAATAGTGCGAAAAGTTGATATCAACGCGCGCAAAAAGTATCATGTTAATTTGTTTGGTGTTACAGACGTAGCAAAAGAAACGGAACATGGTATTCGGCCGCTAAATGACTTTGAGGATACAACTAAACAAAGAAATTATGAAAACGAGTGGGAAAAGAAATTTAATGCATTACAGAAAAAGTATGATGAAAAAATTGAAGAGGAAAATAGACGACTCGTAAAGAAATTAAATGAAAAAAATGATTTAGTGACGATTGGTACAGCTTCAAAAAAACTGTTTACCCCTGGTCAGATACGGCGCCTAATTAAACAGAAACGTGTCTGTTGGTCGTCCGATGACATAGCATCAGCAATTTCTTTAAGAAGTGTGACTCCAAAAGCTTATCGATATTTGAGGCAAACCTGCAAGTTTCCATTCCCTGATCTGAGAACTCTCAGACGATGGGCCCATACTTTTGATATAAGTCCAGGTTTGCTGAAAAACGTGGCTCTTCTCATGGAGAAACAAGCCAAAAACTTAACAGTTTTAGAAAGACTCACTGTCTTATCATTCAATGAAATGTTTGTGAATAAACAAATTTGTTTTCTAAAAACAAAGGAACAAGTTTTTGGGCCGCACAAGGCGGTCCAAGTAATAATGGCCCGGAGTTTGTGTTCCAATTGGAAGCAACCTATATTTTATAATTTTGATACTGCTGTTACCAAAGAATTATTACATAATTCATTAAAACAGTTGTACCACAGTGGGTACACAGTGACTGCCATAGTAAGCGATATGGGTACGACCAACATGAGACTATGGAACTGTTTGAATATCAATACCAGCAACACAAGTTTTAGCCATCCTAGTGATGAAACAAAGCTCATTTATGTTTTTGCAGATGTTCCACATCTTTTAAAACTGATAAGGAACCATTTTTTAGATCATGGATTTATTTTCGAAAATTCAACCTTGACAAAGAGCGCGGTTGAACAATTTTTAGCTCTGGGTGAAACATCTGATTTAAAAATGGGTCATAAAATTACCCAACACCTAATAGATGTTAAGCGTTCTCAACGCCAAAAAGTGAAATGGGCGGCTAAATTATTTTCTCGCACCACAGCAAATGTCATTAAGTACTGTGGGGAGAATAATTTAATTAATGATCCGAATTTTAATTTACTTGCCAACTTTGTCGAGTTAGTTAATGACTGGTTTGATCTATTTAATACCAATTCTAAATATTCGCGCACTGGCGTTGTCGGCTATGGTTTAGATCTCCAGAAGCAGCAACAACTTTTATCTAAAATGACTGAAACTATAACAAAGCTAAGAGTCAAAGGCCATAAATGTTTGTTACCATTTCAAAAAGGGATTATTGTTAGCAATAGCTCTCTAGAAAAGTTGTTTTTGCACCTCAAAGAACAATACAATCTGGAATATATTTTGACCCATCGCTTGGATCAAGACGTATTGGAAAATTTCTTTTCTCACATGAGAGCAATGGGTGCTGCCAATGACCAACCAAATCCAGTAGATTTTATGCATCGCTTAAGATGGTATATTCTGGGAAGACATTCACCAAGAGCCTTAAGCAACAACAAAAATTGCGAGGAAGATAACGCCTGCAACTTAGTTCAACCATTAGGTGGAAATGAAGTTTGTTTAACAGTACCCCTTTTCACATCATTAATCGGTACTTCAAACGAAGGGTCAGGCAATCAAGATTTTGACGATTTTGCACATTTGCAGTTCACTGATAATGACTCTGATATTCATGTCTCTTTACCATCCACCATTGTTAGCGATGAAGGTCTCCGGTATCTCGCTGGATATGTTGCCCATCGTTTTCGTACAAAATATTCTCATCTTGGTGTCTCATCACAGAATGTTGTAGCTTCTACGTCTACTTCTGATTGGATTCAATTTATATCCAAAGGGCAATTAATACAGCCATCGCCAGAATTTTTACAAATTGCAAAGGCGATGGAAACTTTATTTCTGGCCTATCATGGGCCTGAAATAAAAAAAGAGCCAAAAATTATTCAAAATATTGTTAATTTAGTTAAAATGAACATAGACTGTATCATGGTACAAGAAGACATGGTATAGGCATCCGGTGTACCAATTTAGAAATCGTCTGCGCATCTATTTGTGACGTGGGTTGGCATCAACGACCTTGTGAGCTTCGCTAGGGAAGGCTAGGGACTTTTAGCTTGAGCTGTCATAGCTCTGTCAAATACGTCAATTAGCTGCCGGCCAAGTGTGCCGGCTTACGAAAGATAATGAAATTAATAGTGATAAAAATGTAATTATTGAAAGTTGAACGGTCCAAAAATGTGGAACACACCCTGCGGTAACTGCTTAATTTTTGCGATTCGCTGTTATTTACGGGGAATACAAATTAGTCAACAGTAAGGTAAGTTTTTACCCACTCACGCACTTTAGTCTTTAATGAAGTTATACAAGAAGAACTACATTAAAATTTAGAAATCAAAGTATCCAGTTCTAATGTTTTCCCACAATTTGTTTTATTTTTTTTGTACACTTAACCTCTGATTTGTCCGCGATTATTGATTTGTTCAATTCCCTAATGCGGATATACGTTCGCGTTCTCACCAAACAGCGAATCACTTCATCTGGAAACTTGCTAGTGTTAATATTATTTTTTACTTCGTTTACGACGGTTGTTATGATTTTAGGCACTTTTTGAATGTCTGCCCCGTGGAAATTTACAAAAGTTGCTTCCATCACTTCCGCAACTTGCAGAAATTCTTTGGTAGGATGAAGCAAATTTCCTTTTGAAATAAAGTTAATCCAATCTAGGTTAGAAGTTGAGGTGGAAGGAACGTCATTGTCTGGGCTAGAATTACCGAGATGTGGATATTTCGTCCTGAACCGATGTGCTACATATCCAGTTAAATACCGTAGTCCTTCATGATTGATGATTATTTCTGGTGTAATTATGCTGGAATCACCACCTTCACACAGGGATGGATCATCAACAAAATGAATTTCAATCCACTCACAATTGAGCTCTGTATCAATATCAAAACTTGAAGATGTATCTACAATTGAAGCAAACAATGGAGCAGTAAGACAAACTTCCTGTTGTTCTTCATGGTCTTGTAAGGGGTTGGTTAATTTATCATCTTCATCTTCCTCACAGTTTTTAGATTGAGTGAGAGCGCCTGAAGAATTTTTTCCTAAAATATACCACCTCAAACGATACATAAAGCTAATGGCATCAGGGTTGGTATTTACAGCACCCATACTTCGCATATTAGAAAAAAAATTTTCTAAAACATCTTGGTTCAAACGCCTAGTCATGATATATTCCAGGTTATAAGTAGTTACAAGGTAGTGATATAGACCTTCCAATGATTTATTGGTAATGATGATTCCTTTTTGGAATGGTAATAGAGCACGGTGTCTTACTACTCTCATTGCTGTCATTACTTCAGTCATTTTCTGGATTATCTTCATCTGATCATTCAAGTTAACTCCAAAGGCACTTACTCCTTTTGCTGAATATTTTGAAGATGTATTCAGCAAGTCAAACCAATTGTTCACCAACTCAATAAAATCAGAAAGTGTTTTAAAATTGCTGCACTGGATTAATTTGTTTTCACCACAGTAGTCAAGTAGTTTGGCTGTCGTATATGAAAATAATTTAGCAGCACTTTTAACTTTTTGACGTTGTGACCTTTTAACATCCAACAAGTCCTGGGTAACTTTATGGCCAATTCGCAAGTTGTTGTTTGTTCCGAGTTCAATAGCATCTTCAATGTATTTTTTGCCATAATTTTTGTTATTTAAGCAGAAGCCGCTGTCAATAAAGTGGTTTCGAAGCAGTTTCAGTAAGTGGGGAACGTCGGCAAATGCAAATACTAATTTGCTCTCATCATTTGGGTGTTGAAAAAATGATTTTGATATATTTATGTTTAGTTCCCTCCACAAGCCTAAATTCTGTGACCCCATATCACATACAATTGCAACAACTGTATAATCACACTCATACAAAGTTTTGATGATATGCAATAACAGCGTTCTTGTCATAGGGGTATCAAAATTATAATATATGGGTTGCTTCCAGGGGGAACATAAACCGCGTGCCATCACTACTTGTACTGCTCGGTGGGGTCCAAAAACTTGCTCTTTTTCTTTATGAAAACAATATTGTTTGTCTATGTACATCTCATCAAATGAAAGTACCGTCAATCTTGAAGTTTCATTCAAAATTTTGGCTTTCTTTTTCATTAATAATGAGACGTCTTTCAAAACTCCAGGATCGACACTAAACGTACTTGCCCACCTTCTTAAAGTGCTCAAATCAGGAAGTGGATATTGACACTTCTCTCGTAAGTATTTATAAGCTTTCGGGCTAATGCTCCTTAAAGAAATTGCCGATGCAATGTCTTCGGCTGACCACTGGATACGTTTTGTTTGTGTCACTAATTTTTTTATTTGACCAGGGGTAAAAATTGTTTTTAACGTCTCTACAATTTTTTGATCCTCATTTCTTGCCTTCAGTGCACCTTGGAGTGCTAGGTTTTCATCTTTTATAAGTTTTAGTTGGTTACTTAATTTTTCATATTTCCTTGACAGTGTTAGGAATTTCTTTTCCCAGATTTGCTTTTGACTTTTATATCTTACGCACTGACACTTACGACAAGCTTTAAGGTCGTTTGAGGAGTCTATTTTACTGCCACTATTGTCATTATTTGTCGATGCATCATATTTTAAAGATTGAATATCACTGTCATTTATATTTCTTGAGGCACTTAATGAAACGTTAAACAAATTCTTTTTGCAATGTTTTACAGGAAGCAACAGAGGCAATGGAACTGAAGTCATTACACATTTACCATTGTTACTTGAACCACTTTTATCTGGAGTTTTTTTACTTAAACTGTTATGGCTCAATACATTTGTAAAAGCCAATGGCGAGTGTCCCGTTTTATGTGGAGCCAAAGGACCCAGTAATGTAGGTATTGCTGTATTTAATATTTTTCTTCTGTTTTTTGGGCTATAGTTTAATACTCTTTGTAGTCCTAGTTTCGTTTCACATTTCTTTGTAAAATGTATTGAACACATTCGAGCTAGTGAAAAAGTAATAAAATGAAAAACAATGTTTATTAATTATTTATTTGTTTTTATTCTTACCATTCTTAACATTTATTGGGCTTCGACCACAGAATTCCACCCAAGCCTCTAAAATTATAGGTTCTTTGGGAAATCTGTAAAAAGTAAGATCTGGTTGCTTTTTTTTGCTATTCCCACAACCCAAAACAGCACAGTAAGTCATTTTTAAAAGAAAAAGATAAAATTTTGGTTACACTGGGTTACGCGCTAACGTAAACTGCAAGTAAATCCAGGGCGTACTTACTATTTAATGTAGGGGTGGAGTGGACCATAGACAAAGATACAGCTAAATCGTCTATGGAACAAGTCCTTTGATGAATCTCGACAAGTATTTTTTTACCCTGGCAGCGGCTCTAACTACTTTTATTAATGTATTAATCCTTTTTTTATTTATTTTGCGTATCTCATTTTTGACGAAACTATATTTTGTTTAATATATTGATATAACAATAACTTTTGTTTTGCAATTTTAGAAATTTATCTCTTTTACTTAATTGTCTAGATTTAGGATTGATACGGGGGAATTTGCAACGTGACAGGATAAAAAAATATAAAACTTCAATTTAAAGAATGTATTTTAAATTTCGCGCTAATTTCACCCCACTTGACGTCACACCCGATGCGTATGCCTATACCATGTCTCCTTCTACCATGGACTGTATGAGTGATCCTGATCATGGTAGAAGGAGACATGGTATAGGCATCCGATGTACCAATTTAAAAATGGTCTGCGCATCCATTTGTGACGTTAGGTGGCATCAACGACCTTGTGACTCTTGTGAGCTTCGCTAGGGAAGTCTAGGGAATTTCAGCTTGAATTGTCATTGCCACAGCATATCATTCAGTAAAGACAGCTCGTCAAATATTGGAACAACGTGTCCTTATCCAACCGTTTTGATTAGGCGGGATTTTTGAAACGAAGTGGAATATTGGTTGCCTAAATTACAAATACAGCTCGTCCGTAAAACAATGTAAAAGGAACTGATATAAACATCGAATGAACTGAAACCAATTTTTGGAGTGTGGCATGAAGACTACGAAAAAAATACCACTTTGAACAATAAAAAAGAATTGTGCTTATATTTATTTTATTCATTAATAAAAGTCTATCACTTTACCAAGTTAATTTCAACATAAACATATCAACTACCTATTTTGCCAATGCCTTCAATTTTCGCCAAGTGTGAACCGTTTGAAGAGTCAGAAAGTGAACGCTGTTGTTTTCATCTTCCCTGGGAAAAGTACTTTGATGTTTTTGGTTGAATTTTTGTTGTTAGTTAAATTAGTGAAGTAATTCTGAGAACTTTTTCATAGTAACATGGACTATAGTGGTAGACCACCTCGTGATTCCAGGCACAATAAAAAAACCTGCTTCAGAGGCTTCTTTAAATTTCCCTCGGAATCTGTAAGATAAGAAATATAAAGAAGTATATTATTCTATAATCAATACAAAAATTATTTGGTATGCAATTTTTACAGCACAGTGAAAATTCCAATAGTTGTAATGATTTAGGATCTATTTTACTAGCAACTGAATCTAAAGAAAGTAACCAGTGTCAAATTATTAATAGAGTTTTAAGTTGAACAACTTTTGCACATAAATCTGTGGAAGTAAATATGACAGACTACAGACATCTGGACATGGAGGAACAAAATTCTTTAAGTTATGTCTGTGGATACTTACTGAAGAAATGCTTGATGAAATATACCTGTGAAACATGTAGTTATTTTGCCGTTGCACGTAATGTTATCATATATGATAAACTTCTCTGTCACTTCAACGTCTTTGATGATGATCCACCATTTTGGCAATCCTAAAGCTGGCCATTCACACTCCAACGTCCCATTGGATGCAACTGTTGTACAATTCTGTTAAAAAGCAGCAGTACACACACACGTTACGACCTTGCAGTTAAAAATTTGCGATCGTGATGAC